ATGATGCCCAAGCAGCAAAATCAGTTATTTGCCTTTGTGTTCTGCTTCCTAGTTAGCCTTGACTCTTTATGATTCTTGTGCCCCGTCCGGCAAAATGATTTTGGCTATTCAAAAGTTTGGTAGTACCAATAGTTGATTGAAGTAACACTTTTTTTTTTGGCATCTTTGTAATTTTTTTTTTCAAGAATATGATAGAAGTTTGGCTTAGAATTGCAGATATCTATTCAAAAAAGGCTTGATAGCTTCTTTTTAAAAAAAAAAAAAAAAATTTCCAGAGAGGGGACAGGAGGATTAGAACTTAAAATCTCTAATTCTTGGGGCTCGTTTGCTAATTTAGGGCGCGTTTGATAAAACTGAAGTCTGAAATCTGAAGTTTGAATTCATTTAGTTATTGAATTGCGAAATATTAAATTTAATATATTTGATTGCATATCACATTAAGTAATAAATAAATAATTTATCACTTAATTTTGGAAGTAAGTTTTGTCTAAGAAATTCAATGTCATCTAATTAATTCAGATGTTCAATCTTTGATTATCAAACAGTCTGGATATGTTAAGATCTGAATTTATTGAGTTTAAGTGTTGAATCTGAATTTATTGAGTTCAAGTGTTGAATTGGATTATTAAACGGAGCTTGAGTTCACCTTTTCCTTCGGAGGTTTGACTTTAATGCCTTGTTTGGATCCTGGACTGTGGGAAGGAATTTGACATATCTTGCCTTGCATTTTTTCCCATATCAAAATAAGACTCAAGAATAAGTGTATTTTTACCTTTGATTGAACTTATCTTGAGTACTATCAGGATTAAACCCTTTTTTTTTCTTGCTTTCCTTTTTCGGTGAAATTCTTGACTCAACTATTAGTTCAGTCTCATTCCCAAAAAAAAAAAAAAAACCTATTAATGTTATAAAACTAATAAAATAAACTACTATAATATTAAGTGAAATATTTAAGAAAGAAGTAGAGGAATGGAGAGTGATTTTCTTATATTCCAACCAATACAAAAGTCCTTTAAAAGGGTGTCAATGTACCTTTTTATATAGGTACTACAAGATTAAAGGAACATCAATCCTATTAAACACCCACTATTACAAGAATATGAAGAAGCCTATGAAACGATTCTTCCACTAAATGAATAGATTTATGGATTGTAACTTCTATACATAATGTATCCATAAATCAAGAATTAATCCTCTTGGGAATACAAAGGGACATCCATACTTTTAATTGTTTCATAACACTCCCCCTTGGATGTCCATTACATAAAGAATATGCCTCGTTAAAACCTTACCAGGGAAAAATCCATCGGGACAAAAACCCTAGTGAAGGAAAAAGAGTACACTATTCTTGTGTATTAATTTCTCCCCCTGAAGCAAACATCATTTGAGATCTTTTAATCGTCGCATTTCAATATGCTTCACCAATTGCACTGAGATATGGTACTTCAGGACCAAGTATCTCTCCATCTTCCTCTTGCGGTCTAAAAGAATCTTTATTAGGATCTAATGATCTGACGATCATTGGAGTACTTAATATATGTGTCTTATTCATATAAAACCGCTTTAATACCTTCCGGGTATATGCAGTTTGGTGGACAAAAATTTCACTTTTTAAATGCTCAATTTGTAAATCAAGGTAGAATTTTGTTTTTCCAAAATTCTTGATCTCAAAATCTTTCTTCAAATATTCAACATTATTTTGAATCTCTTCAGGAGTTCCAATCAAATTTAGATCATCAATATATATAACAATGATCACAAAATTTGATCCATTTTTCTTGGTAAAAACATATGGACATATTGGATCATTGGTATAACCTTCTTTAGTCAGACATTCATTGAGGCGGTTATACCACATACGTTCAGATTGTTTTAGGTCATACAAAGACCTTTGTAATTTAATAGAATAAATATCTTTAGAATTTGATTTGCATGCTTCAGGCATGTTGAATTCTTCGGAAATTCTCATATAAATATCATTTTCAAGATTTTCATATAAATATGCAGTAACGACGTCCATTAGACGCATATCTAGTTTTTCATGTACTGCAAAACTTACAAGATATCTAAATATGATAGCATCCACTACAGGTGAATACGTTTCATCATAATTAAATTTAGGCCTTTGTGAAAATCCTTAAGCTATTAGCTTTACATCTTTAGGTGTTTGGACTACAAGTCCAAAAACTTTTCTTTTAACCAGTGAGTCTAATTCAGATTGGATCACATCTTTTCATTTTGGCCAATCATTTCTATACCGACATTCATCAATCGATTTAGATTCATAATCCTCATCAACTTCTATAATATCAAGTGCTACATTTTATTAGGCTCCAATTAAATTTTTTTTTTATGATTTCATTCTCTTCAGGAGTTGGCTCTTCAGGAGCAACCTCTTCAAGAGATTGAATTTTGTCATGACATTTATTTAATCTCCGGAGATATTTGAAATCAATTTATACTTTGTTTAGGTAGGCCGGCCTTAAATTTATTTGTAGCACTTGTGCATATCCTTCAGGGACATCAATTTTAACCAGAGTATTTCCTGCAGGAATAACTGATTTAATGACTCTTCTGGAGTCGATAAATATAACTTTCTATAAATGAAGAATTTCTTGAACTTCTAGTTCACATTATTTTGTATGAGGATTGAGGAAATTCAATTTTTCAAATGATTTCCTTTCGGTTGATTTCTTCCTCCCCTTAATGTCGGGAATCGTAGTTCATCAGAATAAATAAATCATTTAATAGATCACCCATCAAATATTTTACGATATTTAATCGTAAAGTGATTCATACCCGACATAAATTCTAAATTTCTTTTTGGAGCCATATATAATATAAAGGGGGTATGTATAAATATTTGTCGGCTCTCAAATATTCTCACTTTTGTCAAATCATATATCCATTGGGATCAGTAAACTTCTGGTTTACTGCAGGTGAAAATAATAAATCAAATGAGAATAAAAACAACTATATCGATAACCATTTCTCTCTCGAATGGTTATTATGATATAATTAACCTTTATCTCACTTGATTTCTAAACATGATCTCTATTATTGTCTCATTTAATGTCTCAATTTGATATCCATTTCAACGGATATATAAATTCAATAAATTTTCCGAGACATGGTAAAAAGTAGTGCTTTATTTATAATAAACTTTTCTCCTACATGGAGAAATATAGTAGTGGATCTTCTGGAGTTTTCAATCAGTTAAACACTACCACTGATTGTGTTTGTCTCTCTCATTGGAATATAGTGTATGTAGTAGTACTTATTAATGAGACACATATCATTGTCACCATAATTCTTATGGGACAAATATCATCACCATAATCCTTTGATCCCAAATATTTAACATCCATTTCTTCTTCAGGAAAAAAAATTAATTACTATCATAAATTAAATCAAGCATCATATACCTTCAGGGTGTTTAAAGAAATTGACCATGTGAAGATGCGATTATAATTTTGATTCGTCAAATGTACTTCGGGACATTTATCTTCAGGATTCTTATTTTCTTGTCCTCATCATTATTATCCCACTTCAAGTGGTAATTTTTTCTCTTGTCATGGTAAAATACATATTTACCAAAATCATAGTCATGGCATCAACCATAACTAGTAAATTGAAATTTAGTCACATTCACTTCTGGGAATGGACTAGAACTAGCATACAATAAGTACAGAATAATTCTCAAAATTTCTCTCAATATTGCCACTACAGGAGCATATTCGAGAAATCAATTGTGGAGAATATCATTTTAAATATATCTTATGAGTAAAATTTTCTCGACACAATTTCAACTGAGAAGTAATTCTGAAAATTGCATAATTATGCTCTTGTAGCCACAGGTAAATTTATCATACCAGGCTTTTGAAATAATGACCATCTTCTAGTGGTCAAATATTTTTGTTAAAGAACGACCATCTTCAGGTGGTCGAATCTTTTTCTTTAAGTATTTCAAAGAACAAGTGAATCCTCAAACATAATTGATTTTCTATAATAACATCTCTAAAACTCAATGCATCAGAATATAAGTATTTATAATAAATAATTATAAAGATAAATAAGTAGAATTAAACGGAGAAATATTACCTCAAAAATGTCAAACAATATATGTTTGTGTTTAGTGATTGTTCAGCAATAAGCACTTGTATTTTGCGATCATTCAAGTGTTAACCATAAGAAATTGAAATAAGTTTATGGGTTAGAGATTTACCTCAATAGGTAGTCAAGAGTTGCTCGAAAAAAAACCAACAGTTGATTTGACACTAGCAGAATCTTGACAGAGTCTCGTGTTTCACCTTTGCTCAGAAGTAGAGACTCGTGCTGATAACGTGTTATAAAACTAATAAAATAAACTACTATAATATTAAGTGAAATATTGGAGAAAGAAGTAGAAGAATGGAGAGTGATTTTCTTATATTCCAACCAATACAAAAGTCCTTTAAAAGGGTGTCAATGTACCTCTTTATATAGGTACTACAAGATTAAAGGAACATCAATCCTCTTAAACATCCACTATTACAAGAATATGAAGAAACCTATGAAACGGTTCTTCCACTACATGAATAGATTTATGAATTGTAACTTCTATACATAATGTATCCATAAATCAAGAATTAATCCTCTTGGGAATACAAAGGGACATCCATACTTTTAATTGTTTCATAACAATTAGTTCAGTCTCTATTATTTCTGTGGATTAACGTTCTTTTGCTCAATTGAATTTCTGATTTCCAAACAAAAGCCTGTCTGTTTTGTTTGTTTGTTTGTTTGTTACTTGCCCTTGAGAGTTCGTGGAGCCATGAATTCCTCTAAAACATTTCATGATTCTTCTTTTTCTCCTTGCAACAGACTCGAGTTGGGCTGTCTGTTGGTAATGTTGCCATACAACAAATATCTGTTTATCTTGTGTTAATCGAAACATGAGACTAGCATGCAATTTTAACATTTACTCACGGAGAGATTCACAACTTGGTTCCACATTAAACTTAAAACAGTACACAAACAATATCATCTTCATATATTGTGGGAAACCTGTTTTCCTCCTCTAGCTTTTCTTGATGTTTCAAGAGGGGCATATAGTTACTCCTTTTATACACTGTAAACATCAATCAATTAATAACTGCTACAACAGATCCCAAAAATACAAGAAAGAATTATGTAATTTGTTACCCTACAAAAAACCAACTCTGAGTATTTGAATTGATGTCCTCTCCTAACTAGACAGCTGAAAGGCTCGCCCATTTACCAAGTTCATATGGATCACCATAATAATAAAGTTTAACCCTACCTGACAAAGACAGCCCAGATGCAAGTTGCCGAGCTCTATACTCCGAGTCATCCTGTTCTGCTGGGTCATCAGCATATGCAGCAATATCTCCAAGAAGTCGAAATGAAATACGGCGAGTATTTATCTGTCTAGGGAAATCAAAGTACATGGGCGTCCATGCCTTCACTTCTGGTAGCCGATACTCTGCAATTGTCACCATATTATGGGGTTCCTGCAGAAGTGACAAAAAACTCTCAGTTGAACAGTCAGTGACAAGATTACAAGAACAGCCATTATTAGCTTGACCAAGAAAACAAAATACAGGGAAAAACAAGTCATTTAATAAAGAAAAAATGCAAAAAATTACAGAGGCATTGTCTCTCGGCAAAGAGGTGCTTGTAGCAGCTGACTCAACAGAATACTAGACAATACTAGACCTAAACAAACCACTGTCAATGCAGCTTCACGAAATCAAGTGTCCAATTTGGAATCCTTGAGTCCATAATAAGATATATATGAAGACCCATTCCTCATCGACATCTTATCATTTGAAGGTAGACTGGTAGAGAAAACTTAGCTACAACTCGTATGCACTATAAAGGTTGCTCATGCATAATACATATCATTTATGTCAGCAACAGGAGGAAACACAACGCCTCCAAGCATCTCTATATTTTCTTTTCTAGCGTGCTTGACTCTCCACCATACCACGAGCTAGGTTCACTTGTAAAACTCAAACTCTTTAAGAAGGAAACAAAAAGATGCATGGAGATACATAGAGATTTGTTACCAAATAATTAAAATCAAAGCAACTAAATCTCCCATTAAACCTTTCTGATTGCACTTAATTACAGCATTAGATCAATAAATAGCCTCTAAACGTATGAACCACTCATCACTATTTTAATGATTAAGGAAATGGCATGGCCTTTAGATTTTACTAATAAAATAAAACAGTAACTTCATCAAGGAGTACAGGTGCTTAACATGGTTAGTAACCTGAATTTCCAATATAAAACTGGTAAGAGGTTTGGATAACAGCATGGGAAACATATAAACCTTTGAAAGCAACAGACTGGCTAATTGTACAGAGAAGGCTGAAAGACTCCTGGTATGTTGATTGAGCAAATTCGCTTTGCATCAGATTGAATAAGTAGTTAAATTTGAGTTTCTTTTGCCTGGAGATGGATTTCATATCTTGATAACGTTCTACAAGCCTTGGATATGCCATATTCTTGGAGGACAGAATGAAACTAAAACTGGCAACTGCCTAAGAAGTTGATATCATAATCAACCCTGTAGAGATAGCTAGTATAGCTTGATTCCCCAACAAGTGTTACAACTTTATTGATTTAAAATACCAGCAAATTTTTTGCTATCAAATTTAGCTTACAAAACTTGTGGTTCTGCACCCCTGCTGATGTCTGATCCTATGTAAGCCAAAAATACAGTAATGTAGTTCCAATGCTTTGAAGGAATGATTCAAAACTAATACCAGAATAGGAGGAATACCAGGAAAACCACAATCCCTGCCCCCCCCCCCCCCCAAAAAAAAAAAACTATCCAGTGCAAATAAAGCACCAAAAATAGCAGCTCAATAACTTATTTCTTGGTCATACCTGGAGAGCAGATACTTGAATGTACAATACAGCAGCGGATATCAATCTATCGTCCAAAATGTTCGACGACATATCCAACATATTTACATCCGATGAGGGTGAATGTGTGACCCAAGGTTTTATTGCACTAAAACCATCCAATCGAAAACCAGCCAATGTAAGTGAAGCTGGGGATAAATATTGCTCTAAAACAAGATCATTATCAGTTAACCTCTCAGCCTCAACAGGAACCTGAAATCGAAATAGGAATTTAAGATTACGCTTGCATGTAAAATTTCATATTTTCTTTTTAAAAATCAGGCAGTGTATGCACCTTGAATCTATTCAATGCTGGGGGTTTGTCCAACCAATTTCGTACACTTGTTTGGTCCAAACCTCCAGATGATACCTCAGTTTCTTTTTTTGTAGGGATTCCAACTACTAGAACTCTTTTAGCGTGAAGGCATGGATCACTTTCAGCCAGTCCACCAAAAGAGGCACGTCTGCTAGGTTCAGAAAAGGGGTTTTCATCGAAAGATAACAGATTAAAATCTTTCTCCAAACTAACAGAACTTGAACCCATTCTCTGAAGGCGTAGAGTTATCCAAATGATGCGGCATCGAACAGGGTTCCTGAAGACAAATTTTACATGTCTGGGCACTTTCTCCTCTTGAGATTTTTCTGGTCCACAAAGTTCAGAAGAAGACTTAATCAGAGTGTGCACATCCCATTTACCCACACATGATCTTTCTTCCTTGTTGATCTTATTGCTTGCCCATATTTGGACCTGTATAAGCAGTAAAAGAAGCTGATTGACTGAGTTGTGAATCACGTGGAATTGGTAGTGAGATATTACCAAAGACTGAAGAGTAACATAAAATCAAAGGAATTTCATATGGAGGAGTTCATCAATATAACTGACTGTTCTTTACATGCGTGTAAAAGGTTCACAGCAGATAAAAGTCAAGTAAACGCGTACGACATTGGATCAAAGTCGATCAGAACTTTTCTTAAATAACCATCATATGACAAAGTCCTCAATCCATGAACTAATCTTAATGAAGAGAACCATTTCAATGTTACAAAAATTTTGGAACAGTGAAGATTATTAAAGAGACCCAACAAACTTCAGAACTTTTGAAGAATTTTCTTCCACATAATTTGGCTTCAACATCTTTAACAAAATAAAGGAAGATCTAAATTAAGCATATAATATTAACTGAAAATGTTCGACTTCCTACCACCACTAAAAGTTTAATGGAGATACTGGGTTTGTTTGGACAAAGAAAATTTGCAAGATTTATTTCAGATTTTGTTTTGCTTGCATCATACACACAATTCCCAATCACCTTTTTATCTCACATACATCACATCACAAAAAGTACTACAGTAACTGGATCAAATAAATCATCCAAATAAATTCTTATCCAAACAAACTCACTGTCATTTAAGACCTTTGTCTTTTCCCTGTCCTACACTTTACTGTTCCTCTTTTATGAGCAGTTTTTTTTCCATACAAAATCAATCAGTCCCCAAAATCTCTTTTCCCCTTTCTGTTAAACAGGCAAATGGCTCCTCAGACCAGGGGGGTTTTGCACATGATGCACTTGAATCACTACTGAATATCAATTAGTGTGTTGTGCAACTAGATCACAATCACAAAATCAGTCAAGAAAAGAAAAAGAAATGAATAACATTTGGCCCTTTCTGAAAGATTTGCACTTGTAAATTGACGACTAAGTTATGTCTCCAAATCCTTGGAGCTTCTCTCATCCACAAGTGTACAGTGTTAGACAGAAGTATAAAATTATAGAACACTACATCAAGTCTTAAGGACAATTTTTTTTTTGGTTTTATTAGTATCTACTGAAAGAAATCAGCACAAGTAATTGAGCTATACACGCGTTTCGATTTTTGTTCTAACAAAGAACCTATAAGCAAGTTATCCCCCATCCCTTTCCCAGAATCCAGTTGATTATATGTCCCTAACTATACCTAATCGCAAATCCTCTACAGAATTGCACATAAGCCAGCTCCAGCTGTATGGCATCACTACTAAGCATCCTTTTCGTACATTATCATCTGTGCAGATAATTGGATAGCCTGCAGTTGCATCAATTATAGAACAATAAGCTGCACAGAGAAGACTTACAATAGGAGCATCAGACATTGAATAGCCACATGGACTAACTAGAAGGATCACAGCCGAAACATCAGAAAGATTGCTAAGGACAATGACAAAGTCAACAGATGAAGCACTTGGCGGAGCTCTCCAGTATGAATGAGGCGAACCAGCATCCAGTGGTGCCAGTAATGACAAGAAAGGCGCCGAACCTACTGCTGTTTCCACCTTCAATACATAATAACCAACAGACAATTTCGTAAAGAAGTCAATCGGTTTGAATTGAGATGCAGCCAAGCAAAAAGGTTCAATAGTATAACATGCATAATATCAAAAGTCGCAAACAATTACTGTCAGGTGCACTTCAAAAAATACAAATTTTGTCACTTGGAAAACACATTTCGGGAGGAATCAATGTTTTGGTTATTTGCAGCATTTCTGCATATTAATTATTTCTTTGGCTGGTCATATCATGGTCACTAATAGATTAGCATAGGAGCGGAACCAATTTGCTAAGCACCTTAAAATAACTAGTATCGGTTTTAAATCTCTGCTCAAATCTCAAGCATTATCTGTGGATCTTATCTGTCTTCCATGTTAATTCTGTAGTTAGAAACGAGACCAATTTTTGGACATTCCATGCCCCTTAAGCTAGTAATGCGTAACCAAAGGGCAACCTGTACCCAACCTTTTCAGTTAAATAACACCATATTTCCCAAAATTCACTAGCAAGAAATTTTCAATTTGAGGTACCCCAAAAGCAGTCCTGCATCACCTGGCGCTTGATATTGCCAGCCAGATGCCACTGTCTGGTTTATATGGTATAGCACATCCTTTCTAGTGGTCATGTCCTTACAGCTACTCAAAACATTTTAACAGATCCAGGTAAACCCCACCAAGCAAGATGTGAGACATAAAATCTCAGTAGAGAACAAAAAAGTAAAAACATTTGCAACAAACATAACTGTTAATGGAGTTTCATATTGCCAAATTAATCAATTTCTCAAGTGACAGAAAAGAAACGGGGACTGCAAATGAGAGTGAAACCGGTGGGCATTAGAGAATTCAAGGAATGAAAGAAAGGGTAGAGCATCTATATAATATAAACATATATTAGATATATATTTGAGTGGGGGGGAGGGCTGGGTTGAGTGGCAAGGGAGAAGGGATTGTAAATAGGATATCCTGGGTTCAAGACCTCCCACTTGTACCCTCCCAAAAAAAAAAAAATGATATCTATTTGTGTGCAGATAAAGTTGTGGAAAAAAATCACTATGAAGCATTGCTCTTTTACGAGGGCAAAATATTCATATCCTACAGAGTAGAAAGAAAAACAGTTTTTTGTATGTCTATCTGAGAATGCAAATATGAAGTAAGATTATTTTAAAAGCAGAATTTGGTTTTTTAGGTGGAAGAGGTTATTTTCCTAAAGAAAAAGTTGGTTTTGACCATCTCTAACTACACTCTGAGCTCAACCTATTGATGAAAATGATCAGGAACATCTCAAGTGTCATACATGTGTTGAAATTGCATAATGTTGAAATTACTAGAACAGCAGGCTAATTTCCTAATCTGAAGTATCATAAACGTCACAACATCTGAGCTCCAGCATGATATCTGCTGCTCGGTTGTAGTTTATAGTTTCTACTGCTTTTCTCAGCAGAAGTCAAACAGTCTTAGGGGATAAATTTAGTAATGCAGGAGCAGTTATTGAAACAGTCGTCCAGAAAACTGTCTTTACTATAGGTTTATTGTCTTGGTCAACTAGATTTTCCAGCTATATTCTAGAACTTAAGCTTTTCAATATACACTGATCCCAAGGTTACCCAGAATTTCTAACGTCCCAAATCTTTACAAGGATCATTTTTGGGATGCATCCTGCAGTTCTTCCAAGCAAGTTTCCGTTTTCCTTGCGTTTAACTGCCCATACGAGTTACCTCCCAACAACCATGTTTTACAACATTCAGTATGGGATCCACAGATCTGTAGATTGGGAAATCATTTTAAAAGGTTGAACAGCAGGATGGACATAGGACATATTACAATCAGACAAACAAAAACAAACAAATTCACTTTCTGTCACCATAATTGCCAAGTAGTCTTGTAATCCCAAAGTGAAGTGAGATGGAAAGGCAAAGGACACAAAAACTGAATCAGCATGAGCATACAGAAAAAGCATACATCTATTAAGCGTATATCCATATATGAGTAAATAAAACTGGAGAAGGTCCAAAATCCTACCGGGTGGAGAAAGCTGGCATAAGGAAACTCAGAAAGTGATTCTTCTGCATTTGTCAACTGTCTCAAAACCTTTGTTGTATGTTGACTACTTTGAGGAACACAATCCACAGCAGAAAATCCCACAATATGGTCCAGGGCTTTATGTGCTGCATCATCAGCACGTGATCCTCTTCGCTGGCTAATCAAGACCCTAACATAGTCCACAATCAATGCATCGAGCACTATATCATGGCAGCAGAGTTTACAAATAATCCCATCTAGTGACACTGAACGGTTTGAAGATGAATCACTTATGCTTCCATGACTTGATCCCCCCTGTGTACTTGCACTACCAGGATTTGAGGCATCCCGCGAGTTATAGCTTGAAAGCAGGAGAGCGCCTTTCCCAGCACAACAAACTTTACAAACCTTTCTTTCACATTCAGAACACACAAAGAAAGATTGAGAACCTTTAGAAGAAGTTGAGGTGGTGGATGCTTGTGCAGATGATTCACTTTCTGCCCGAACCTGACACATGCCACCCAAACAGCTCTCACCAATCCCCGTTATGTTCCAGAAGTCTACAACACCATTATCCATCATCTCAAGACCAATGGCAGCAGTAATTCTGTCTTCAAGAGACGTATGCCCAAGTAACGCAAGTGTATGCACCACCCTGCATAATCTTCCAGTATAAGAATCCTCAAGCAATAGATTAGGATTTATGCTTGCAGGATCCACTCCAACTGCTAATAAGGCTCTATCCCTCTGAGCTGCAGAAAGATTTAAACGGAGCCGCTCAATTTCAAGTTTCATAGCTTCCATAAAATCTAATTGTCTTTCCTGTAACATTAGGAGAAAAGGAAAATATTTCAATGACTGAAATGGCTTGCCAGTATGATGTCTTAATCTGAAGATTCTAATCTTCCATTTTCCTTTTTTCTTGAACTAAAATAAAAAATTTACCAAACACCCTATGATTAGAAGACCGAAGTCTATAAGAGATGGTTAGTATGTTTACTTCATGAAGTTATACAACATACAAAAATAATCATCTTAAGGCCAAAGTTTGACAGTTTAGATCTACTCAGCATTCCAAACAAGCAAATGTACGATGTCAAAACAAACATCCTCACATGTATCAACTTGAAGCTCACTTTACCAATTTAGGCCTTAAAATACCATCAGTCATCAACATCTTAGATTAATGTCTATTGATGATCCTTATCACTCAAGTTCCGATAATGCAAATAAGCCCTTTAAGTGAAATATGTCAGACATTAATCAATTTAACATGCCAAAAAGTATACCCATTTAAAATGATGAATTTGCCTGAAAGTGGTTTCAGCAATGAAAAGCCAATGTTCAACCTAAAATTGCACAAGTTATGGAATCCACAGCTTTATAAGCTTATATCATCACTTTATTTGCTCTTTGGGCTATGGTTAATCTTGATTGAGGATGAGTTCAAAGATGACAATCTAGAGACCCCTTATCTACTGCAAATGAATGCCCATCCCAACCCAAGTTCATAAACAGCTTTTCCAATGGTGCCAGAATGATTTTCAGAAGATTGGACAGGAAACAAGCAAATAATAAATTTGGCATAGTTATTCAACTAATGATTTTCTGGGAACAAGTTATGAGTGTCAAGTTGATGATTTAAAAAGGTGGCGTTAACAGGAATTCAGAATTTTAAAGACCTTGTTCGTATAACTGCTCCAACATTGTCGATTTTTCTTTAAAATTCGAAGCATCCTAGGAATGAAGATGTCAAATATTAAGAAAGTTAAATGTCCTGCAATTGAATAACTTGACAAGAAGTTTTACTATAAGATTTTCTTTTCCAATTTGCAGGTTAACATGGTTTATAATTTTTTTGGATATTATATACAACTGTCTCTACGATTAAATCAACTTTAAATGTTTAAGAATACCTATTATTAATTCCAACAAAAGCACAAACTTGTAAAGTAACATTTTTCAAGAATTAGTTGTATGGTTGTCAAAAAAATATAATGCATTCAGCACTTGAATTTCCCAGCAGTTTAAGAAACAGCCACTAGTATTGTGATTCACCAACTTAATGGTATCTGTAACTTCAAATTCATAAGGTAAGCTTCAGTGCTCATGTTAGAGAAACATAAGCTTCAGTGTTGATGCTTCATACTGTTATAGACATGAATCAAAACAAAATCTTCCGCCAGGTGTAGCAGCCGTCATGTCAAGTCTATTGACTTCCTTACCACTAGATCAACTATTTTTGCAAAATAAAACTAATTTAGTATCTAAGGACTTTAACATTAACTACTTCAAATACATGCTCTTACTCGCTTTTCGCACAATTTCTTATACCAGCATGACCATAACTCAGAGAATGAGAAACTCTTTTTTCCCTCTGAAGTACCAGATGTTCCTATAACCTTAAGTATCCAAACAGAAAGCATGCTGCCTCAAAGCACAAATAACAATCAGAAGCCTTCTTAACACCTTTCATTTTGCTGTTATTAATCATCACTACAAAGTAAAGGGGTCTTGACTTTCTACAAGCATTGAATGGCATAAACATGTTGGACGAAGCAGAGGTCATCTCTTCAACTGAAAAAGAAAGTGTCACTACATGTTCTAGATTTTGCTAATGTCTCCACTTAGCTGAAACCAACAAGTATGGCAGAAGCAATGTTCAACAAGCTACTAGCAGGTATGAATGCCACAGGAGGACCTTTTCAAATACATGAAACAGTATCAATGAATTTTAATCTTGCAGAGACTTTAGAAATCCTAGGCCTACATTATTGTGAACTTAGAGCTACTTATAGACAAGAGATTGTTACTTTTGGATGTCCTCCAAACTTTAAGGTACCCATAATCTAAATAAAAAAAGTTGAATATTTGACGTTAAAAAAGAAAAAAAAACTTAGACACCTATAAGTTGTCAAAGGAAAAGCAAAATTTTCAAAGAAGGAAAAAATTGAAGTGCTTCTATGATCATTACTAAAACTAGTAACGTACCATCTGTGGTCCTGAAAGTAGTTTGAAACACTTGATGTACTGTTGCGTGCTACTATTTGAAGGTTCATTATATGATACGGCCTTTGCGTCATTATTTACACCATTATGGTTGTGGATAGTAGCATCATCCAAGAAGTCAAGCAACTCACTTCTTTCGGGCATAGCAGTTTCTATTACAGGTTCTGAAAAGGAATCTGAATGTCTTTCTTCTCCAGTCAAAAGGTCAATCCATGAGCTGGCAGATTTATCAGATTGTACATGTGCCATCACTTTATTATCAGACAAAGCATCAGCAAAAGGATTCATGTCCGTTCCAGAGAGAAGCGGGTTAACTTCCTTTTGATTAGCATTGGTGTGCTTACAAAACCTTGCACCAGGTCCTTCCCGAGTAAATATAAACCTCCACGGCAGAGATACTCCAAGTATTTCTATCTGCAAAACTTGGAGATTTAATATGATGATTCTTCTTTGGTATTAGCAAAAAAATTTAAGAAACTCACGGATTTTCTTTCAAGCGGTGCAAGAAATCAGACTGGTTAATAATTGGAAGTACATTTACAATGTCAACTTCAATAAGGAAAGAGCAAAGAATAGAGTACTTGACAATCTGATTAGCTCATCAATTGCACTCCCCAGGCAGACTTTAAGCTAAGTCAATGTCATACTTACCCTACTGAGATTTCACAGGGCATAGGTTATTAGGTTTTGTCAAGAACAAGGTGCTAGAAGCTGTAAGTGTTAAATCATATTTCTTTGTACCTCACCAAGCGTCATTGGGCTCCTTCCGCCCATAGCAGGGTAAAATGTAAGTGCAACAACACGAGTAAGGAAATCCAATTCTCCTTCCAGTTCTTCAAAGTCATACAACAGAGAAAGGCAGGATGTATCCTGTGTATGTAAACGAGCACCAGCCCCGGTAATAGCCATATCCTCTGCATTAACAGGTCCTGGTAAGGGTATCAAAATGTTTGTCCCTCTTGGACATTGAGGAATAGAAGCTCCCTGTATAAAGAAAAGCAACCACCTGTGAGAGACTATCAACTCAAGCAAGGAACCTAATTCCTTAGAAAAGTCAGCGACTGGGTCTAGGAGAAGAGAAACAGATAAAGTGAATGATAAAAAGTCTCCAAAGAGTTAACTTAAAAGGTCAACATCCAACATGGCATCATGCTTTTTTGAGACAAAAAGGCCAAGATTTACTCAAGATTGAGGATCACATTTTGTTCATTTAAAAAATCAATCACATGAATTGACCAGAAAAAAATCAAGCTCTTTTACATAAAGCCCAATACAGAACAAATCTGCACAAGATTGGTTCAACTTTTATGTTCTCAAAAGAGTACTTCAACAGCATCCATAAAACTGCCTCCAACATACGATTATGTGACTACCTATTATCATTTACTTGTGCACACAAACACAAACAAACCCGTGTGTTTCAGTTGATTACTTTGTTAACCACATTTATCTGGTATTGCTGGCTTTCATTCTTTTTTATTCTTACAACTTGGTTCCTTCTTCATCTTTTATTTTTTATTTTTTTATTTTTTTGGTTGCTGTTTTCTTGGTATTGGGGGCTTGAGAGAGAGAGGCTTTTGGGTGCTACATGGTTACAAGGGGTAAGAAGTAGAGAAGTCATGCATGAAAGGTTCAGAAGATCAGCAACAAAGGGTAAGAAGTAAAGAAGTCATGCATGAAAGGAACAGAAGATCAGCAGTTTTTCTCACACTGAGTAAAGGATGGAGCATAGCTGCAGGGGAGACCAAAAGTGGGTGAGGAAATAGTATCAGCTGGTTCGTTATTGTTTTCCCTTAGTTTTCTTTTTCATGAGCTGTTTTTCCATTGATATACAAGGGGCTACATAGATTGCATGATTTTGGGTTCCAAAATCCCATTTATCTATCCAAGAACTCACATAACACTCGAGTGTGGAAGCACATGTATGGCCTTTCAAGGAGATAAACATAAAAAGAGATATACCAGACCTCAACGACAAGTTTAAGTCCATCTAGATAGCGCCCTGTCCTCACATCAACAGTCGATGGAAAAGTTGAATCATCAGCCCCATGTGAAACTGTGAGAAGAAGCTGACTGACATGACAAGGTTCACCAAGATAAATAAAGAGCTCAACCACATCTGCACCCTGTGGACAAACCTGTCAAATACATACACCTTCTGTAAATTTATTTTCTTATAAAAAAAACTACAAATTAAAAGTATCAGTAGCAGGCCTTTTCACCCAAGTAATGATAAAAGCAATCCAACCTACAAAGCCCAATAAATATTTCCGTTTGATATATAGACAATTACCCCAGTATATTACTTTAGAATTAACCTACAAACACATGATAATGATAACTAAAAAATAATAGTAGTAATTATAACCAACAACCCAGCTCAGGTAGTAGGGATGCAACCTTCAGGTCCCTAATTTGACTCTCAAGCCCTCCATTTTCCCTCCTTCCCCCTTATAACACTTAGAGCCTCCCTGGAACTGAAACTAACAATAACAATAACAATAATAATAGTAGTAGTAGTTGTTGTTGTAGTTTCAATAACAACATTAATTATCTTGGAAGTCCATGAATTATTTCAGAAGGTTCCGTTTAGTCTTTTAAACTTTTATTACTACTATTGGACCTCAAAATTCATTCCATACATCAGTTTGGTCTCTGGGCTGCAATCAAAAAGATAAGGTTTAACAACCTGACCCTAAAATTTACTAAGAATTTCTGAAAACTTAGAAATCAAACTCTAGAAGATCCAATCACCTCTACGTATTTCAGGAATCATCACAGTAAAAGTATTTGTACTTAAAGGAATGTGTCATATCGTGTGTATCATACCTAACCTCATATTTACCTCATATTTGTCTCTTAAATAAGTCACAATTTTTAGGTTCAAGTCTTACTTAAGGTGAACCAGAGTGGATTTGTATGATATTTTAATTAAAATTGACGTAGTCTATTTGATATTTTAAGGGTCAAATGAATGTATCATTTTTGTATAAGAATCAATTGACAAGTGCAAGAAACTTGGACTAAATTGAGTCGATATTAAAAAGGACTTAAAATTATAAAATTTCTAGTGGGGAATATGTAGGATATTGTGAAAAACTTCAAGGGCTTTTAAGGCAATTTACCCTATTTATCACAAGCAAGTTTCTTATACAAAAAGTGAGAGAGCAAGGTCATGTGAAAACTAAAGAAAACTTGATAAGAAGCCTGTCATGATAAATTAATTTAAAAAATGCCATAGTTACCCATATGAGATCTTTTGTTTTGAAGGTAAGAAGGCCAGCTCCGCCATCAGAACTTGGAATCATGCTTGCAACAGGCTTAAGAAAGCACCCAAATGGACGTGAAGGTACCTATCATGATAACCATACAGAAGCAGACAATGTTTTAGCATGGATGCAAAAGATTCTATCGTAAAGGCGACCAATGGATAGAAAACAATAATTTCACCTCCAATAACAGCTCACAAACAAGTTGTAATTGAGTCATTATGAATACAAGGCATCTTTCTCTACATGATTACAGAAATATATTATGGGCATTTTAGGCCCAAATCCTCAATAGACTGTTAGAATGTGATGTCGTACATCACATAATCAGGTGTTACTTCAGGCTACGTCCTTTCATATCACGTGTTTATACCCCAAAATTTTTACTCAAAAGGGAATTTTTTCATTTGCTTATCTTCTGGATCACAGTACCTCACCAAAATATCTAAACCATGATTATGATGAACAGCCTCAACAGTTGAGAACCAAATCTGCAGTTGCAAAACATAACTTATTTCAATAACCATGTACAACCATTTAAGAGACTACAGTAAGTTTCACCAAGGCCAGTTGACAAAATCTCATTGGGATTACATGTGCAACACCAAGATTTTGGATAAAGAAGGCTAACATTATGGATACTTCTTCAACCGTCCTACTTTCCATCAATGCCATACTTACCGCTTTCCCACACACCCCCCCCCCCCAAAGTCCATCTTGAAAAACTGGGCCTTTTAGTCATTATCCATTAGAAAGACTAAGTAGGTAATAGCAAACAACTTATTTGACTATTATTCAAATTATAATGGCATCTGAGACAGCTAAAGAATCAAACTATAAAGAGCAAAAAAATCACTCTACATCTACCAAGAAAAATGTCAAATAATAACCATTACGTATAGACTAAACTCAAATCCCATGTTAATAGACAGTTCAGTCACATATGCTCTATGTTAATACAAGTCCACAACCATCTTTATCCAACCACAATTGATTTATTAGTTAAAAGACACTTGTTTGCAGTTTGGACTAATACAGATCATTTTTGAGTCCACAGACTTATAGAACTTACTTGTGATAGGACCACAAAAAACTAACATCATCTTCCAACTTAAAAGCACTTGAACATAACAAACATGCAATACAAGTAAACACTAATATCACAGCGGTGTACATATTTGCACTTCATGAGTCGTGATATCATTTTCCATGGATCTGAATGCTGAATAATAATCTTGAGAGAGAAACTTAGACTAAATTCAGAAAACAACCAATGGAATAAACTCCAAAAAATTGGAGTATCAAGAATTTTATAGCTTTGAAGGATTTTCTTCGAAGGTTTCTCCTCAAGTTGATAGCCTACTAGTACACAAGAAATAATGGACTAAGACAGATAAAGTGAAATGCACTACCTAAGGGATTACCTTGCTGGAACCAGTCATAAAGAGGAAGAAAATTGCATTCATTGAGCTCCTCACATGCAGTTTAAAGTATTGATTTTGAGTCAAATTACAATGAATATCATAAAAAATAGAGCTCTTCCTGACATGAATGCTGCAGCACCAAAGTGCAAGTCTTTTAAATCTTTGATGGGATATTCTTTGGAGGATTCCCCTCCAGCAGGTAGCCATCTACTATATGAGAAATAATGATAAAAGAAGTGAAATGTACTGAAACTAAAGATTTACTATGTAAGACCTACTTATGAAGAGGAAAGAAAACTTCATCCATTTGAATCTCCGCTTGCAGATTTTTAAGTACTGACATATAAAATCAGTATGACCATAAGCAGAGCTGTAGCTGAGAAAAAGCCTTGATGGAGGATGAATATTGTTATTCATATACTGAAGAAGATTCCTATTTCAGAAACTTTGAAGAATTTTACTTCTTAAAAACATGCACTACCTTTTATGGGAAATAGCCAAATGACTTATTCAAGCTCGTAGGGTCAACCAGTAATAGACGCTATACAGTTAATATCAAGAAATCCAAGTACTTATCTATCCTGTTGGAATAGGGGATATTGATGTCACTTCACCAAGGTAAAAGCAAAAAGGTAGACTATTTACAGGTCAATAGCGACCAAGAAACAATCTATAAGCATCAAATGGCACCAAGTGTACCAAGATTCAGTAAATAAATTCTTTGGTTCAGAAACAAACATTTTGGTATAGCTTAAGTGCCAAATGCAACAAGTAAGGTTCCTGCAAGTGATAAACTCGTCAATGTAATACTGGAAATGACATACATGTAAAGGCCGGAGCACAACGGAAGGAAGGTGCTTAAATAGCCTCAGTCCAAGAAAAATCTCTAACTGCTTCTGGCGAGAGCTATCTACAACAGCATTTTTGTATCTTCTTTGTAGAGTAATTTTCATATTCTGTGCAGCAGAAAACTGTTTAAATTTTCCAGCATCTTCATTAAATATGCTAAGAATTTGGCTATGCATAGCTTTAGAACCAGTATATAGTGTAGCATGAATATCTCCAGCAATCAGAAAAAGGTCAGCTAGCTGAGAAACAGGTGATAAGATGGTTGATCTCTTAAACTCCTCAAACGTCATGTCAAATCTCTTCCATGGTTTATCAGGACAGGGATGATTCCAGGTAGTCGTCCTCGTATTATGATCAATATAATATGTTTTTCCAGTTACAGCATCAGATCTTTTCTCCCACCCAGGAGGCAATGGAGCAGTATATCCACCATAGCTATTATTTGATTGATAAGCATATGCTATGTCGCTATCAAGTGATATGCCTAACCGTCTGCATTGCTCCACAAACACTTGAAGAGAACCAAAATAACTAGCAGCATTTGTTCTATCCAACGAATCCGCACAATTGAAACGTATTACTCCATTCTGATGAGATCTTAAGCAGAATGCACCATCAAAATCATCACTGCAAATGATTTCACCTTTGCAATTATGAATCCGCTCACGTGAAGGAAGATAATCTCCTTCAGAAATGCCAATAGATACTGTAGGTGCTTTTAAAAGGTACCAAAGTCCCTCAATCGTTTGCTGTTCTCCTTTCAATTTTACACTTGCATGCCAATCATAGTTGATCAAATGAACTCTAGTATATGGAAGTTTTTCTGTCGATCTGATATAATTTAAACATTCCTCAAAATGCTGAACCAGAATGGATTCTGATTTTCCTTCCCCGTATCGCAGCAAGTTCACACATACAATTGGAACCACAGCACTTTTTTTCTGATTCCCACCAACAGCTACGTCTAGGTTTCTTGTATCATATCTCTTAGTCAATCTTTCAAAATATTGAGGACTTTCTCTATAAGGATCACGATCTGAAACATATATTTCTGCTTCGGCAGCAGTGATCTTCAACTCTGCACCCCACCAAATAGGAATAGTGCCTCTTCGCCAAATGTAAGTGTTGAAAGGAATGCTTTGACCAGTTCTTCTAGGAACCCACACAAGCTGCTCACATTCAACTTCATTCCCTGTCATTAAAAGCAAAACAGACAAGACTGAAACAAAGGTGTATGGCAATCCTAGCCCATTAACAACAGACTACATATAAGCACAAAAGCCAGCTATCATCCCTATTATGTAGACAACTATCAAACTTTTGTACCATGGGTTTTATTTTATTTTATTTTCTTTAAAATCTCACAACTAAATTTGTTAGAGATCAGTGAGCAGTTCCCATGCAACTTTTGGCAATTTCCTTCAAGATTCCCTGTCCTCTTCAGTATTAGCTGTTTTCCATATTAACGATTTTTTTCTTTTAGAAGGAAAATTATAGAAATCATAGATGGCTGTATCTCAAAGGTGCATGACCCTTATAGTGCATTGAGTACTGACAAGGTACCAAAGGTACAAGATTACTGCACCATGCATGGTCTGGGATACTTCAGGAGCATAGAACAAAATTCACTCTAGCAGGTTTGAATTCCATCCTAAGATAGGCATGCATACCATGTTAAGTTATAAAAAGATAAAACTAAAATAAGTGGTAGTATGTGAATAACAAAATATGAAGCAGAATATCCACACCAAAGATGTTAAAGTCCATCTATAGTCATCAAACATGTAAATGTACATCAAAAATGGAAGAAAGAGTCACAATCTGGAAGGGTTGAAAATGACAATATAAAGGACATGGAACTATAGTCACAATGTAGAAAGGGATGGGATGAATAGAGATGGATCAGTGTTAACATGCCATGCACTGATCTTTCCTCTCAAGCTACAATCCACCACCCACCTCCAAGCAACCTCTTTGCCACGCCCAAAACAACCATACCAATAAAGAGATTTTTAACTTATACCAACTTCAATTTTGTCCCAATTATGGAAAAATATCCAGTTGTCAAGTTAAATTTACTTAGATTCATATCAATGTCCACAGGTTTCAAGCCGAACAGTTAAGTGAATAGTTTGCTTATGCCAAAGAAGAGCAACCTACCTGTGCTATAACATGAGTTTATACCCCTAGCCAAATAGCGAGTACCAGGATGCAGCCTACTGCGACGAGCAAGAAGAGCAACTATTCCTTCCTGCTGGCCCAAGCTTCCAAAACTGCGGCAATCTGCAAAGCCCTATAAACTGGAGTCAATTAGACACAAATATTCTTTTCAATTAACTAGGGTTAACATATGCTAAGATGCATGAAAATCAAAAGCATACAGATATTTAATTTACGGACTGGAATCAAGTTGGAAAATGTCCAGACAGCTATAAAGTGAAACTAATTTTGAGCTCATCAGGGATGCAACCAAGTCGAGTCTAAAAATACCATTTAACTTTTAACGGAGTATGATATTCTTTTCCCTCCAATTTTATTGATCCATTATGAATCTTGCCAAACAAGACCTTTTAATGGAGGTAAGACATTATGTTCCCCTCCTTCAGTTTCTTTTATCCATTAAGCATCTAAGCACACAAAACCACTTCTAAAAGTGGTCTTTTTAGATTAAAATTCTCTAGGGACTAAAATGCTGATATTTATGTGGCAACTTTCCTCAGTAATTGTGAGGGGCGACAGAACTAAGCATTTCATAATTTGGTAAATGTACTAATAGAGGTCTAAGGTAACAAGCATTTTGAAAAAACTTCCTTGGTCAATTAAAAATTTTAATCACCCTTGGAACAGAATGAAAATTATTCTAGAGTAGAATGTACTTCCGTCTACTTTAAACAAGTATCAACAACTATTATTTTAGAATGGACAAGTACTTCCCTCTACTTAATCCACCATCCCCTTCCATATCATTTTTATACCCCACATCAAAACTTTCAATAGGGTCATCAGTCCAGATTACTGACAACATGCACAGTTAAAAATTCTGGTAGACATAATTATTATAATTTTCAAAAATGCAGGTACTGAAGCTAAAGATGCCAAAGTAGTCAGGAAATTCTAAGAAGCATTATGTGAAAATACCAAGTGTGAAGAAAAACCTGCAGAAGAGTGACACAGTGCTGAGCAAGTCCAATGTTTTTGAAGGGGCTTGAGAACCATTTATTCCAAACAAATTCTTCATCAGGATTTTGCAAATCCATACGACTCGGAAAGGGCCGAGTGAGGTCCCTTGTTTCGCAGAAGTAATACTTCCCATCAATGTCAAGATCTGTCAATTCTTGAACATTTTTCAATTCTCCTTTTCCCTGGGGTTGAGGATTCTGAAGTGAAATTTTGATCCATTGGCTCTCAGTAACAGTATATACACAACCTCCACCGGGCAAACTTGGAATGGTGGCAGTTAACTTTGTTGCAACAAGCAGCAAACCAAAACTCCCAAGGGCTGCATAGCCCAATAAAGCCCTTGCATAAGTTATGCTCTTACACAACCATTTTGTACCATTGGTTATGTAATCTAAAGCTTCATTTTGTGATCTGAAAACATCAAAGCCTGGCTTTGCATTATAGCAAAGAGCCCCAGTGGTAGGGTCAACATAGATCACCTGGGTATCATTCCTGGAAGACAAACTGACAACAATATATACTTCACTTGAATCCAAAGTGACAACAACTACAGATGTATCCCGGAGATGATTACCTGCAACAACTGTGACATACAAGCATGAACAGACAGAAAACCATGAAAACGAAAGAGGCAAAATATATGACATCCATCAGAAGAAAGCCATACATACCCTAAAATTTTCTGAAAATGCAAAGAAAATTATGGGACTTTACAATGAGACAGAGGAAAAAGACAAGCACCATATATTTTCTGAAGGGAAACTTATTGCCGATTATCCTTGCAAGATAACAAAATGATTTCCATTATGTAAGGTTCAAGGAAAGTGATCTTTTTAACGCGAATAAGGACACAGCCTATCCCAACCGGACAGCTCACTTATATCAATAATGCATGACTAAAGTGGTAGTGGACATAGGATTCAAGAACTTACTTTTTAATAAGTGGACCTTGTTAGATTTCTGAGGGTAACTTTCTTTACTATGTTGAGTTGAGGATTTATAATTAATGCACAGATAGAGAAGACAAATAAGAAACTAATAGGGGTTTAAATGATATAACAAGCAATTAACTCATGATGTTGTCTCGCTTTCAACTAAAAGATTGCCATGATTGATCAGATTACAAATAAAAAAGGTAAGTCATCAACCAAATCATGTTGTTGCAAATGTTCCTATACATGTGATTTGCTAAATAAATAGGAACTTTATGGCCATTCTTATTCATCTACATAAAATCCCAAACTCTGCCGTGAAGGAACTTAATATAGTCCAATATGCAGGACACATTCATGAGATACCAAGAAAAATAGTACCTGCATCTAACTGCAGCACCATGTACAAAGGCTATTTCACAATCCAATCTCTCAAATTCTAGTTACTTTTCTCTCGTTATCCTTCATGTGGCATGGAAATGTCTTTATTCTAAAACCCAAAAAATGATAAATTGCAGTTTACATTACCAAAAAAATGTCCAAATTGCTAATGATGTTAGGACAAAATTATTCCTAGCAATCAGAGTAAAATCGCTCCATGTAACAAAACATACCATGTATTAGGCAGAAAACCCAATGTCAACCCAGGCAACAACTGTTTAACTATTACTGCTAAATCATAACAATAACCTCATATGAATTATCATAACAAAAGAAGTAGCAATTCTCAGCGGCTCACCAGGTGATTCCATGTCACAGAGAACTGATTCAGGCACTGTCCAGAGCCTTCGCGCCTACACTTTCCAACCGAGAAAACCAACTTTCTGATCAAAGGCAATTCAACAAATTATATCATAGAAATGGTCAGAAGATATCCCTTTTCAGCTACGATCATTTGCATACTACTTCAGCTTCTATAACAAAACATAAAAATAAAAAAGATTACAATTACAAAGCTACTAAATTCCTTCCATATTGTCAAAAAGCGTGGACCATTTTCAGAATTATTTACAGAAACGGCTAAAACAAGTAGGACAAACTTCTTTCGACGCTATAACCGATCAATCACTGCTCTGTGAATAATTCACATTGGATCACCTATTTCCACTGAAAAAAATTACAATCCAGAATGCCAAATCAAGCCACTGATAATGGGATTCTCACCCTTTCACGAATTTTCGATAAATAATACTGAAAAAAAATCACTTTATCAGCAAAAAATCAAGGAAACCCACGAAATAAATCTCCAAGTCGCCAATGTCTACACAAGATTTGAGTTGCATATCCAATTATACAACACTTGTTGAATAAGATTATACTCTATGATAATAGGTAGCTTAAAAGATCTATAAAGTACTTAGTATTTCAGCTAATTCAGCACTTGAAATTGTAAACAAAAAAAAAATCGACGCATAACTTAGAAGAAGACGTAGAAGAAGAGACTGACCTTTCTATTGGGGCATGAATCGAGGAAAAAGAATTCTGTTGGTTGAATTCTGGAAATGAATCGATTTTATTTTGCAACTTATATCCTACGTAGATTTTGACAAGGCAAATTGCATTGTACTTCTTGGACTTTTAGTATAGTTTCACTTTTCCCCTATTTTTCTTATGGGCATTTTAGGTGTTACATAGCAAAGATACTTCAATTATAGAAATGCTTTTATAATTGTCCCTGCTCTTTTCATTTTTTTTGCCTTTTATTTTTCTTTTCTTTTTTTTCCCGCCCATCTCTTTTTCGCTTATTTTTCTTGTTCCTTCTTTTTCTATAATTCACAAATTACCCCTATTCTAAAATGACTTTTCTTTTCTGCATTTTTCTTTTCATTAATTTTACAAAATGAGATTTCAAAATGACTTACATTTTCTTGACTTACATAAGGATTTGTAGGAAAAAGACGATAGGAAGACTGTGGCTACTCAAATGAGTAGAAGATAAAGGTATCAAATAAATTCTAGTAATAGTCTAGAAGTTTAATGGAAGGAGAGATGGCAATAGTTTGATGAGCAAGTGAAGAGAAGAAAAGGAAAAATAAAAAAAAAGACAAATAGAAATCGAGTTGGGAAATTTGACAAGATATTTTAGAGTGAGAGTAGTTTCATAAAAAAAAATAAAAATAGTGGTAAAATACTTATAGAAAAAAAATAAAAGGGAGAAATGTGAATAAAATTTAGGTTGAGAGAATAGTTGATCTTGCTTTAATAGCTTCCCTGCAAACTAAATTTATAAAACTACCCTTGACTATCACCTTATGTTCAAGTTTCACATGTCCATACCAATTTTTTTATACATCTTACAATGTTGACCAAAATCAAATGATTTTATTTGGCATGACAATGGACTCATTATATTTCAATCTCACAAATATTCATGATAAAACTCCTCCATTTAGCCCTCTCCCAAATGATCAAATCTATGGCCTATTTGGAATATGAATTTTTTTGGAGTTTATCTAAAACTTTACTGTAGTGCACTGTAGAAGTTTTTGAAAAAATTTTGTAGAAGTTTTTTATAAGGTGAAAAACTTTTTTTTCCTTTTCTTTTTCTCTTTCTCTTTCTTTTTCTTTTTCTTTCTTTCCTTTTTCTTTTCTTTCCTCTCTTCTTCTTCTTCTTCTTCCTTCCCCCTTCCCCTTCCCCTTCCCCGTTACCTCTGCCTCCCAACAGCAACGCAGCCTGCTCCACCCCCTACTCAGCCACCGGCCCCACATCCAGCACCTCCGCCAAGGCCTCCTCCAGCCCCTCCTCCCACGCCTCCACCTGCTCCACCTCCGGCACCACCACCAATGCCTCCACCAGCCCCTCCTCCTACTATCCCGCCTGCTCCACCCCCAACTCCACCACCAGCCCCACCTCCTGCACCTCCACCTACTCCTCCACCAGCACCTCCTCCACCAGCACCTCCTCCAACGCCACCACCAGCACCACCACCACTACTTGCACCTCCTCCAACTCCAGCACCACCATCGGCTCCTCCACCAGCACCTCCTCCAATGCCACCTCCCGCCACCCCTCTCCTCCCTTTCCCCTTCTCCTCCCCCCTGCCCTTCCCCCTCCCTCTTCCCTCGCCCGGCAGTCAACGCGCACCTCCTCCACGAGCCAGTCAACTTTATTTTTTTTTTTGCAATTTTCAGCCTTCCCCTCTCCTTCCCCTCCCCACAATCTGGTGCGCGGAAAAACCCCCCTCCCCGGCGCGATCTAGCCTCGCTACCAGATCAGCCAGAGGGGAAGGGGAAGGGTGATGGGGGAGGAGTGGGGAAGGGAATTTTTTTTAAAAAAAAGGGTCATACAAACTGGGTAAAGGGAGAGAATGGCAGGGAAAGATGGCGGGGAGAGGGAGAAAGGCAAAAAAAAAAGGAAACAGTGCCGGAGGTGGTGTCGGTGACGGAGGTGGTGGTGGGTTGGGATGGGGGAGGAAGAAGAAAAAAAAATGAAGGGAATTTTTTTTTTTTTGTGTTTTGTGTATTTTGAAGTGTGTAGGTAAAAAATTTAGAGAAGTTTTTTGGGGTTCCTGTAGCAAAAGTTGTTAAAAAACTAATAGGTAAAAAACTTGCTTAAAAACCTGGCTTCCAAACAGGCCCCTAGTGATAGCAATAAATTTTCATATTTTCAAACTAAAATAAAGCATATTTATTCACAGTTATCAAATAAATCATCAAACTAGCACATTTAATCTAATACAATATCACACAAAATGACTAAGAGAGTGATGCTAGCCTTTGAAAAAAAAAAAAAAAGACACAAGTTCATTATAAAATCAAAGGAAAAAAAAAAGAAAAACTAAGTATTACTAAAAGATAACCTAATAAACATATTCACCATACTTAAATAACTATGAAACAAACATCAAAATCCATAAATAAGCATAGCCAACCGTATATTAATAGGATCAACCTGCAACCATATAGAAAGCTTATGAACTTAAGTTAAATTTCTAATAAGCTAAAGGACTCAACCAAATTAACAAATTAGCGACCTTAGCAAACAATTAAGAGCAACAAGGTTCAAATGATATTGTGGATTTCTTTTGTGAGCTACTAAAAAGTTGGGTCTTGAGATGGAAACTTGAAATTAAAAGGGCCAAAACAAGATAATAGAACTACAATCTAGCACAAATCTAATAACATAAGTGTCCAATAGTAGTAGATCAAAAGCACAAAAGAAGCAATGAAGAAAGGATGAGGATGGGCAGCAATGATAGCTCAGGATCATTGGAGAAGATGAAGTAAGTCAAAATATCCAAGAGTATGAATCATTTTCATCACTCCAATGTCAGCTTAATGTCATGTCATGTGCTTTCTATTCTCACTTCTTTTTTTATTGGCCTACTTCCACTAGTCTCACGTACCAAGACACTTTCAATTACCATTCTTGGAGGCCAAGTTTCATTGTCAGCAAGGTTTTATATCCATGGTTATTATACCCGACTTTACAAGAAACCCAATAAAAAGACTAGTTTCAATGGATCATAGGTTCAATTTGTGGATCACAATTGAGTTGATAGGTCACTAAAATAATATTTATAAATACAAAAAGTAATTTTAGTATACGTAAAATATCTAATAAAGTGTTTTTAAATACTAATTATTATAGTTAGAAAGATATATACTAAACATATAAATATTAATAGAAGACTTAATTTCATTTTATTGTAAATTTATACAAATAAATTATATAGTCAAATATAAAAATTATGTCACTTATTTTCAAGGATATAATATCATTTTATTTTATTACTTTAATTTTTAAAAACCAAGTTAATTTTCTAGCTACTCAAATGTTGTCACATGATGATAACATTTTTAGTTTGAAAATTAAAAGTATTAATTTTATAGCAAAAAAGTTTATTTAAAGAAACATTTAATTATCAAATAAAAACTAAACAAGTTTATTTAAAGAAATATTTAATTATCAAATAAAAACTAAATATTTAATTATCAAATAAAAACTAAGTGCATGGTAAAGTTTTATGCACATTGAAATAAAAATCCAATGTTTACGTTTTGTCAAAAGCATATATGTACTTTGTTTCAAAAATATAGACCAACAATTGAAAAAAAAATGTCAATTGAAAAATCGAACGGGTTCCCAGTTAAACCAATGAGTCAAATGGATTTGATTGGGTAAACTTCTTATCCAATCAAACTATAGGTCTAGTCTGACCTAATAATGAATTCATTAGGTTGAACGGTTCAACTATCGGCAAGTCGAGTTTAATAACTATAGCTATATCTACTTTGTCCCTAGTGCGACTTGGCATATGCAAGTTGCCAATTCTAGTATCACTGCCCAACTTATAGAGGACACCTACACACCATGCTAGTTGGACCCGCTAGGTCCACTCAATCCGCATTCTTTTTTTTTTTTTTTTGAAACGTTAGAACACTTTCATTGAACTTTAAATAGAACTTTGCAATCTGAGTAAAGGCTCGATAAGCTGTACATATTGTGTTCAAAGACATGGAGGAATGATACATTTCTCATCCAAAAGAATATCTAAAGCATATGAACTAATGTTTGCACTAATATCATTGTTATCATCACTAACTAAACAAAAAGAGCACATTTGAAACAACGTCTTTAGGCTTAAGATGTCCTCAAGAAATGTTGCCATTCTGCTATCAGCAATCCTTCTATTTTTGAGCTGTCTCAGAAGTTCCTTGTTATGGATTTGTATCTTGATTTTGCTCCACTATTTTTCCACTACTCTAACAAGACCAATTTGATTGCCATAGCATTATCAATCTTCTTGTTTCCTGAGCTTCTCTCTTTCATTGCCCAAAAAACTGTGCCTACGTATGACAGCCACTTGACTGTAACTCCAATACTAAGTAATGCTGGCCTTTGTTGACTTCTTGTTATCATTCTTAGGGTTGTTAGTTCCTGGTCCTTGTGTTCCTGATATTGCTCATCCTGTTCTGGCATTGTTTCTGCTGTGCTCAGTCTGGTTCTGTTTGAAACTATTTCCTCATGTTCTAGCCATTCTTTATGTGCTTTCTGAATGACTCTGCATGGTTGATGGTTGGTCTGGCTCTCAAATTCCCTTTTGTTGCTTTCCTTCCATATCTACCACAGAATATTTGCAGTGAGACCAATGTGATTTCTTCCATCCAATCTTTTCCTTGCATCTATGATTGTGCTCCACCGTCTTCTAAACTTGCTTTGCTAATCTTTGGCTCCATCCCATGTCATTAGGGTTGGTTTTCAATTCTCTCTAGTTTGGGGACATTGCAACAGTGTGTGTTCTACTATTTTTGGTTCCTCTGCACATCCTTTACACACTAGATCCCAATTGATGTTTTCCTATGTATTGCTTCTCTGACTGCGAGAGTACCATTCATACATTTCCATATGAATATCTTGATTTTGTGTTTGATGTTGAGCTTCCACAAGATGCACCAAATTGCTTGCTTTGTTAACTGTCTTCTTCAAAACTTGTTCCAGTAACCTCCCTATTTTCATTCATTTTTGAGCTGTCTTCCATTATCCACTTGTATCCAGAGCTTACAGTGTAATTTCCTCATGCACTAAACTACCAATAGTTGGAATCTTCTCTGTCTGACATGCTAATAGGGATGTTAAGGATCATCTCTGCATCAGCTTGGTTGAAAAGTCTGAAAATGGTATTTCTATTCCATCTTCTGTGGTTGATAAGCTACAACACTGTTTCAAAGTCAAAGTTTTGAGGTTTGGGAGTAGTTGGTTTACCAGAAGGAGATTTTGGTATCCACTTGTGCTCCCAGATGTTAGTGTTTCTTCCATTACCAATCCTTCTTAGTATCCTTTTTCAATGTGACCCCTGGCTTCCATTAGTCCTTTCCAGATCCAAGATGCATTGCTTTGTGCTTTACATGTGAGAATTGACTTTTTGGGGAAATACTTAGTTTTCAACACTTTGCTGACCAAAAGATTTGGTTTGTTCAGTAGTTTCCAGATTTGTTTTCCTAGCAGAGCTTTATTAAAAGCTTCCAAGTCCTTAAACCCCAAACCACCTTTCTTTCTTCCTTGGGCCAATTTTCTCCAAGAAATCCAATGCATATTATATTTCCCATTAGTTTCTCCCTACCAATAGTTTGCCACGGTAGAGCTGAGGTCCTTGCAGAGTTTTCTAGGTAATTTGAAGCATGACATCATGTAGGTTGGCATAGCCATTGTAACTGCTTTTAGCATGACTTCTTTTCCTATAGAACTAAGAAGCTTATTTTTCCAACTTTCTAGCCTTCGTTTTATGCTGTCTCTGATGAAACTAAAAATTTGATACTTTGTCCTTGACACAACCATGGGGAGACCTAGATATTTTACTTGTTTCACTTCTTCCATATCCCCTAGTGTAGTGCAGATTTCTTGCTTCTACCTTTTTGTCAGGTTCTTACTAAAAAACATAGATGATTTGTCTAAGTTGATCAGTTGACCAGAAGTCTTTTCATAGATCTTCAGAATCTACATGAACTCCTCAACTTGTTGCACATCAACTTTGCAAAAAATGAGAGAGTCATTAGCAAAAAAGAGATGAGTAATGTTGGGACCTTGTCTACAAATTTCAAATCTTTTAGTCTTCTATTTTCTGCAGATATTTTAAGCAAATTAGAGAAACCTTCTGAGCAAATCAAGAAGAGGTAAGGTGAGAGTGGGTCTCCTTGCCTTATCCCTCTTTCTGGTCTTACAAAACCTTTGATTTCTCCATTGCAATTAAAGGAATAAGAGACTATCTCCATACAGCTTGAAATCCATTTGATCCACTTCTCACAAAAATCCATTTTCTGCGTCATTGCTTTAAGGAAGTACCACTCCACCCTATCATATACTTTAACCATGTCTAACTTGATAGCCATATACCTCTCTTTTCCTTGCCTTTTGTATTCCAGAAAATGTAGGTATTCATGAGCAATGATCACATTATCAAGGATTTGCCTATCTGGAATGAAGCAGATTGGTTTTACTCAATCTGCATTCGCTCATGCTAATTTGTCCTTCCATTCCTGAGCTCTTCCTAGATCTTTTTTCTAAAACCTACCCATTCTAATTGTTCACTTACAAGGGCATAAGTACATGTATAATTTCAAAACTTCAATTTTGTATTCACAGATGCACATCATCTCTTTTATCACAAAAATATAAGTTGTACGTTCAGACAACTTAAACTTCATGAATATTAACATATCATGATAAAATCATCGTATATCATTTGTATTGACCATTATTTAAACTTATAAACTTATTCATATTGTCATCGACGCTGAGTACTTAGCTTAATTCGTTACCTATTAGGCATTGGATGAAACCATAGCTATAAAGAATGCTCCGATCAATGACTTTGAAGAGAACCCATGAAATTGATTTAGCTTTAATAAACATAATATTTTTTTTCTTTGTATGACATAAAAGAAAATGAAAGGTATGTTAGAATAGAGTTTCTATTCTTAATTTTATGAAAAAATTTGATTTTGTTGAATGTCTAGTATCTACTCCCTCCGTCCCATTAAAAGTGTCATACTTTCATTTTTGGGCTGTCCTAAAATATTTGTCATGTTTGACATTTCAACCTATTTTAAGTTATGAATTCCCATTTCTGCCCTCCATTAATGATGTGATAATGCATGCGCTAGTTGGCCCACAAATTGATGTGTGGTCCCAAAGGACATCCAAATGTCCCAACCTGTACCATGTTTGACTTCCGGCTCCAGCAAAAAAGTTCCGACTCCAGCCAAATTCTTCACCAAGAATATGTATATGGCTCTTTTAAACTTCAGTTGAAGACTGGTTTTGTTATCAAGAGAATCATTTCGATTTTTTGCAGTAAATAGAATATCGAGATGACTTAGTGATTTTCTTTTGAAAGTTTTCAATTTTTAAATTATTTTCATGTGCACTAATTTGTTAAGAATGATCAACTTTCACAAAATAAATTCATATTGAAAGCAATAAAGTAGTGTAAAAAATAGGTGAATAATTTTAGATTGACCCAAAACTAAATGAGCAAAATAATAAGGCATGTTATTTTACTTGGAGAAAAAAAACTACACTCCCTACCAAATTTAATTTAAATGTAGTCTATGGAAGTGTCAGTTCCTCTCATTTTTCTTTAATATTCCAAAACACAAAAATGCAAAAACAAATATTCTGCCAACCAAAGAGTAAAAGAATGCAAACCAATATGCAATATTTCCACTTTTATAGAATAATGTTATTGACAGTTTCAAAAACTCCAACAAAAGTAGTGCTCCAATGTCTATACATGTACATAGTTTCACTCAGCATTGCACATTTTCCTTTTTGTACAAAAGTCATACTACTACTACTAACGTCAAGCTAACTTTACTGAGCTATTCTAAAATCTTGCAAATTGAAATAAAAACAGTCAATCCAAAAACCACTAGTAAATAAAAGTGCTTCTATATTCTTTGCCCAATCAAAAGCTTGCACCACAAAATCAAAAGGCTTGAATTGCTTGATTTCGACCATCTGCCAAAAGATGAGATAGGACACAACTTAGTGAAAAATAACAAATAAAGATGCTCCAGACCAAAGTGAACAAGAATAGCTAAACAAATTAACATTGAGTACATGTACATTTTGCACATTAGAACACCCATACCATTTTGTTCAAAACACATGATTAGTATAGTTTAAGTACCTACAAATATGAAAATAAAGAACACTAGTTAGTTTAAACAACCATACACACAAGAAATTAGAGATCAAAAATCTTAAAAAACAAAAAAGCTTTATAAAATCTGACCTGTCCAGTGAAGCTAATCATGTTTGCATATCACTTAGAACTTGATTCACAAGTTCTTTTTCACATTCTATTTGTAGTGGAAGACAACTTTCTTTCATTAAATGGTGCTTCCCAATGTGTGGCACTTTATAGTTATTTCCCCCAAGATTTTTCATCACCTCTACCATACATGATTGCAATGTTAAGAAAGCATTGTTCAGACTTTCACTTGATAATTGATCAAATGACTTTTCCACAGTAAGAATTAGCTTATCAATTGACATGGGTACTTCTTGATGTTGCAAGGATTGCATAGCTCTAGAATATCCCAAGTCAAGAACATTCATGCCTGGACTGTTAGGAGGCTGAAATGACAAGTGAATATCAAATCCATCCCTTGAAGCAGCTTCAATAAATTCAGGATCAGTGGGACTAATATGTGATTTTGCATTATCCTGTTGGATCAAAATTTCAGTAACACTACCGCCATCCCGTGGCCATTTAGCATGTATTGCAGGCAAACATGTTCAATTAAACATCTCCTATATACTTCCTTGGTCACTGATAATATTGGCTTTGTTTCTAATGTACCTGCCATATGATTTTTACTACTCCTCATTGCTGGTTCTTTGAATACAAAAGGGAAAATCCCAATTTTCCCATCAAATGTTGGGTTACCAGAGCAGTCAAAACGTGGTCGAGCAACAATAGCTAGGAACATAACTTTCACAATGAACTTTTGGCTCTTACATGTCCTAAGAGGCTGTTCTTCTTAAGGATGAAGATAATACTTTTCACATTCTTTAGTCATGTAAAACCACTTTTCATCAATATGCACAACATTGAGCATACTCATAAACGTTGGATTGGTGTTGAAACTTTCTGGTTCAAGCATT